CCCCAAAACCCCAAAACCCCAAAACCCCAAAACCCCTTTTAGTTTTAGCTTTATTGAATGACTAGATATGGTGATAAAGTTATTAATCTAAGGACATATTATTAAAGAACTGATCGCAAAGCAATTGTCTTGGCTTGATTATGGCTCTTGTAATTTCTCCGATCAATTTAGAGCCTAAAAATTGGTTCGACGAGGCATAAATGACAAAATCACCAATTTGTGCATATGGTAAAATATAGGCCAGACCCTATCTTACTTTTAGGCTTCCAAGTGGTCTTCTTAACACTTGAGATACTGATATTACGATGTCTAGGCCTATTCTTGATTTGCAGATGCTGTCGAGTGGTTTGCTTTATATCAGTTGCCACATTAATTTTATCTATACTTTGTTATGAGCTTTTTAAGAAGAATTTCATAAATATTTTACCTAAATTTATGAAGAAGGTTATTGCCAGGTTTTTATATCTCGATTGGGTGTAATGGGAATGTTAATCACCAAATTGTGCATAAAGTTATTAATTTAGCCATAAGTTGTAAATATTAGTATTTATTTTTTGTGTAAAACAAAAAGAGATTTTTAACTGAAGATTTTTGAGAAGGATATTATGAAGGAAGGGGATAAGTTTAATAAAAAGGGATAAACGGAAGTTAATTGAGAGTTTTAGGAAGAAATAAAGGCTTATGAACGTTTGGAATTGAATTTTGACCCTAATAATAGCTTTAGATTACATTTTTATGAAATATAATTGACTAGTTTATAATAAGATCAGTAATTTAAATTTACCTCTTGGTTTGGGACTTGGAGAAAATATTCTAAATTTATTGTTCTCCAATCGAAGATTAGGAGACCGAATCTTTCTGCTCTTGAACCTAGAAGCTTTGGCCACTCCTTGCTTCCTAGTATCTACCTTTGATGAGATAAGAGCATCCAAAATATTTTCTTTCATATTTTTATTCATTGATTTATCTCCTGAATAAATTGACAATGAGTTCAATTTAGTCAGCAAACCAGGGGTTTTGGGGTTTTGGGGTTTTGGGGTTTTGGGG